TCTAGCCAGAGTGATAAACAAGAGAAAAGAACACAAATAAACAATATCAAGAATGAAAGAGAAGACATCACCACAGATCCTACAGATATTAAATGATAATGAGAGAACATTAATTCAGATTAAATAGACATAGTGCTTGAAAGACACAAACTACTACAAAAGCTCACTCAAGAAGAAACAAGTAACTGGAATAGCCCAATATTAGCCCAAATGAAAGATACTGAATTTGCAGTTAAAAGGTTTCCCCAAAAGCCCTGGCCTAAATTAATTCTACCAAACATTTAAGAAAGTATACTAGGGATTATGCTTTATTAATTTTTGGACACTCATGACCTCCATCACAGCACTTGAACAAAACAGTTCATTAAGTGTATTTTATTGAGTAATACAAGGGTTATCCACCTTGAGACAACCTTGGTTTGTACCACACTTAAGACTCTGTCTGTAACAGAAATTTAATAATTTATATTGAGGAATCTGTCATTTCTTCTTCAAATATATGAGGGCCTTCTACATGCTTCTACTCTCTAGGATCCAGGAATAGAGCAGTGAACAAGCCAAAGAAGGTCCCTGCCTTCACTGAGCTTACGCCCTAACTGGGAGAAACAAACACATAAAACACAGTCAGCCCTCTGTAGCCATGTGTTCCACATCTGCAGATTCAAACCACCACAGACAAAACTGACAAACATGGACTGAGGAGATGGAAACAGGTATTCCATGCAAATGGAAATGGATAAAGATGAAGTATATGTATACAATGGAATATTACTCAACCATAAAAAAAGAATGAAATCTTGCCATTTGCGACAACCTGGATGGATCTAGGGGGTACTGTGCTAGTGCAGTAAGTCAGAAAGAGAAAGTAAAATAGTCCGTGATTTCACTTACACATGGAAATCAAAAGACAAAACAACTGAACAAACATAACTAAACAGAAACAGAGTCATAGATACAGAGAACAAACAGGTGGTTGCCATAGGGGAGGAGGTGGGGGGAAGAGAAGGGTAGGGAATATGTAAGGGAGATTAAGAGGTACAAACTTCAGTTGCAAAATAAATGAGTCACAGGTATGAAATGTACAGAGTGGGGAATAACGTCCAAATTTATGTAATAGGGCTTCCCTGGTGGCACAGTGGTTAAGAATCCGCCTGCCAATTCAGGGGACACAGGTTCGAGCCCTGGTCTGGGAAGATACCACATGCTGCAGAGCAACTAAGCCCATGCACCACAACTACTGAGCCTGTGCTCTAGAGCCCGTGAGCCACAACTACTGAGGCCACATGCCACAATTACTGAAGCCCGCGCACCTAGAGCCCGTGCTCTGCAACAAGAGAAGCCACTGTGATGAGAAGCCCATGCACCACAACGAAGAGTAGCCCCCGCTCGCCGCAACTAGAGAAAGCCCACATGCAACGAAGACCCAACACAGCCAAAAATAATAAATAAATAAAAATAAATCTATAAAAAAACTATAAACAAAAATAAATCTATTAAAAAATATTTACGTAATATCTTTGTATGGTGACAGACGTAACTGGACTTTCACGGTAATCACTTTGAAATGTATAGAAATATCAAACCACTATGTCCCGTAACAGGAACTAACAGTGTGGTAGGTCAATTATACTTAAAAACAAACTCAGAAAATGAGATCAGATTTGCGGTTGATAGAGGAGGGGTGGGATTGGATGATGGTACAAACATCCAGTTATAAGAAAAGTAAGTATAGAGATGTAATATACAACAAAGTAAATAAAAGTAACACTGCTGTATGTTCTATATGAAAGTTGTTAAGAAAGTAAGTCCTGAAGAGTTCTCATCACCGGAAAAAAAAAATTTTTTTTTCTATTTCTTTAATTTTGTATCTATATGAGATGATGGATGTTCACTAAACTTACTACGATAATCATTTCATGATATATGTAAATCAAATTATTATGTTATACACCTTTAATTTATACATTGCTGTATGTCAATTACATCTCAATAAAACTAGAAGAAAAAAAGATAAAACTGACCCGACCTCCAAATGGAGTTGATATTTATAAGGAAAGGAAAGGGCAAAACCAAGGATGACACCCAAGTCCTTGGCTGCTGACAACATGTGAGTAGGGAGGGAGAAACAGGTGGTAGAAATCAAAAGTTCTGTTTTAGATGTGTTTAGTTTGAGATGGTTATTAGATCCTCAAGTGGAGATATTGAGAACAAAAGTTTGATGCACGAACCTGGGGTGCAGGAGAGGAATAAGAGCTATAGATTTAATTTTAGTCATCAGTTATAGTTACTATTTAAATCTTTAGAACTGGGTAAGATGAGTAAGAGAACAGAAGGAAGGCGAAAATAGAAATACTATATATTTGTATTATAACGTAATGTAACATAAAAATACAATAGAAAATAGCATGCATCTCATGGAGTAATGGCAGTACTAGTCTGTAAAATTTTTATTTCAGAGACAAGAGAGATAATGGGTAGATAGATGTGGATATAACTAATTGATATATGTAATTTATCTATATATACTTATGAATGTACTGGGGGCAATGAAAATTTATTTCCTATCATAGACTGTGATCAAAAAAAGTTAAATTCTAGGGGATGAGAAGCCAGGAAAAGATAAACAATTAACCACTATGGTAGGAAGAACACCATGAAAGTATAGTGTACAAAAGCCAAGAGAAACGCTTCATGGAAGGAATGCTCACCTGTATAGAATGAGTATGAGAGGTTACGTATCAATACAATTACAACTCATAAGGGACCATGGACTTGGTAATATGGGGGCCATTTGCTATGAACCTTGACAAGGGCAGTTTCAGTGAACAGTGGGAGTGGAGAATATTTTTAGAATGAATGAGGGGCAAGAAAGTACAATCAACAGAGACAAGAGAACGTAGACCTCCCTAAGGAACCTGAAATTTGAAAATCATAATTCACTATGTGAAAGAGTCGGTCAGAGTTCTAAAATAAACTAGGCTATGAGTTTCTTGGGGCAGACCCGTATCATCAATTTTTAATCCCCAATGTGACTATATTTAGAGACAAGGCCTTTAAAAGTTTATTTAACGTTAAATGAATTTATAAGGGTGGGGCCCTAATCCAATATGACTGGTGTCCTTATTACATAAGATTAGGACATGGACACACACAGATGAAAGTCGTTGTGAAGACACAGGGAGAAGACCCACCATCTACAAGCCAAGGAGAGAAGCCTCAGAGGAAATCAACCCTGCTGACACAACAATCTTCAACTTCTAGCCTCCAGGCTACAAGGAAATAAATTTCTGCTGTTCACGTCTGTCGTACATTGTTACGACAGGCCTAGCACACTAATACAACACCCTAGTTTCTCTCTCAAATCTGGTGGGATCCTTCCCTCCTCTTCCTAAGCCCCAGGCCCCTCCTAGTCAAAACATGAAGCTACCACATCATTCACTCTCCCAACAAAAAAGTGCGTGGATTACTTCTTAGAGCTATCAGTCTTGACCATTTCAATCAAAATAAGGCATCCTTTTACTTACCACAGGTCACCTCTCATTCCACAATGTTTTCTGAAACTAAAGGCAGGGTACTTTTAGAAAAATGAGTAAAATTTAAGTCAAATAGCTGTTGGGAGCGGAGAGAGCAAGTCTAATGTATGCAGCAATTCGGAATTTTGAGGCCCCAAAGGCAAGTTTGGCAAATATTCTAAGGTGTTGTTACATGGTTTACATGTTACATTCCTATCTCCAGGTAGCTTGCATCTTCAAGTTAGAAAAGAAAGCATATGTTTACCTCCTTCCTCACACCCAAACAAATCACATAGATCTGGTTTTCCTTACTTCAAGGATCTTAAACACAATTAGCCCAAAATCCTGACATCACAAGCAGGAAACTGAGAAAGGCTTTCCAATTGTTTTATCATCAGAAAAGAAAGGCTGTAAGTTAGAAGCTTTAACTCTAGTGCCTTAGTAAAAGCAAGAAAATTAAAAATATACATACAAGTATATAAATAGAAATATATATACATGTCTATGCACGTATAAAGGAAAATTAAAAATATACATACTAGTGTATAAATACAAATATATAAGTCTATACATGTATATGCACGAGTGTCTCCAAACATGGCTGATACTGACATTTAGTATATTAATCATGCAATGAATAAGCCCGATAGTATTTTGAATACTGACCAATTACTGCATCAACCTGAACCCGTACCTCAATAGTGTAATTATCAAAAAATACTCACTGACATCTGGTTCTAAACACCAAATTTTCACAACTGCTCAGCCACTTGGCTAAGAGAGCTGTGGTTATCAGTTACTGTGCGTTAAAAAAAAAATCTACAATTGCGCTAATATTACCTGGAGAAAAAAGTTTCACGTCCTCTCATTCCATGAAGAAAAAAAAATCACACCCAACAAAACAGCACCATTATTACAGAACTAAGAGTTAGGTTACCTGACCCTAGAAGTTTAATATAGCCGGGTGTTTCTAAGTCCTGCCGCGTCTCAACATTTCTGCTTGGAATTTAGTTTAAGCCTGAACTCCAAGGAAACAAAAAATTTCACGCGTGCTTCAAACCCAACTCTGTCCCTGCCCCTGGTTAAACGAAGGCAATGAAACCTCGCTTTATCATCAGAGTCAGAACGTGTCAAAAAAGAAAAAGGAGTAATCAAATCACTTCACCTTTGGATACAGGCCAAGGTTAAAATCTGAGCAGACTGCGGTAAGAGTGGCCATCAGGACGCTGCCGGTGAAGCAGGACCTGCTTTAACCCCGAGTCAAGATGCCCAGCCCTGGATGCTGTTCTTCCCTCTCCTGGATGACAGCGGGCCTCTCGTGGATCAGGGCTCACTCCCGAGAGGTAAGTGAAAAACAGATGATTTGAAGACACTTGCCCACCCAGGCCTTCTTTTTTCTTTTAAACCAGACAAAACAAGCCAGTCGACCAGACGCAAGCCGGCGTGTGTACCGCGGAGTGTAACTGCCTCGCGCGACGCCTCACTCACCGCACACCATCAGCAGCAGCACGATCAGCAACGTGGCCACGAACACTAGCAGGGTCAGCCCGACGCTGTGCCACATCTTGGGGGCAGGAGGGCGGCCGGCTCCGGGCGGCTGGGCGGTGGGCGCGGGCGGGCCGGTGGACTGGCGGGCGGCGCGTCCGGGGCTTCAGGGGCCGGCGCCGGGCGCGGCAGGGCGCCGGGGCGGCATGAGCGGCGGACGCCCGGCAGCGCCCCCAGGAGGCGAGGCGGAGAGGGGCGGCGCGGGGGCGGCACCGCGGCCGGCCGGCAGACCCACGGTCCTTCTCGGTCCGGCCGACTGAGCGCGGGCGGGAGGAGGAACGCGGGGCGCCCCTACCTCCTCATCGCTCCGGGGAACCGGGGACGCGGCGCCCGGAGACCCCGGTGGCAGCCGGATGTGCTTCCATGGCGGACGCCGCGCGCCCGTGGAGGGGACAGAGGGCGCGCACTGGAACGCGCGGCCGCCACCCGGCTCTCGCCGCCGCCCGCCCGAGGGTCCCTCGACCCCCACGGCCCGCAGATAACGTCTCCCTGCGACGTCTGCGGCGCTTACCCGCCCCAGGCCCTCTCCCCGAGCGGCAGCTCATCACCCAGCGCCCCCACCGCTCGCCGCCTCTGCGTCGGGGGCCCTTCTGGGAGATGAAGTGCAGAGCCCGGTGGAACCTTGAGGAGGCCACCCCCAAGGGGACTACAACTCCCAGAATGCACCTCCCACTCAGCTGCTTTGCTTCTCCCTCTTCTCCCCCGCTGTTCCTTTGGTTTTTCTCAAGCCAGAATCTCTGTCTACCGACTGCTGTTCTCGGAACCCGTGCCCTTGGCTGCCCCTCCTGCGCTGTGCCAAAGCGCCAGGCTGATTTCAAACGCACGGTCGTTTTGTTTAAAGCCGTGACCGACGAAGCACGAAGAGGGAAGAAAGGGCAGGCAGCTGCCTGAAAAACTGGTTGCCTGTGAACCCAGCCCTATTGCTGGGGGCGGAGGTTGGATACTTGGGACTTTTGAGGAAATACCAACGTCCCTGCCAAAGGGGCCAGAGGCACGGAATCTCCCTATTTCCTGTGTAATAGATGTTGTTCTATGTTTTCATAGCTAATGTATTTCGGAAATGGCCCGCGAGGGACTTAAGGACATAGCTTTGCCCTTAATTCGCCTGAGTTACGAATTTAATTCAGTTGCTTCCTTGAGACCAAGTGACAGATGACCCAAAAGTGAAGATTTTGCCGCACTGGCTTGAACAAACCCCTGCGAAACAGGACGATGTCATAATCTCAAGCACTCTGAAATTAAAACTCCTCAATTCCGCCAGATTACACTCATTCGTTAAAGAGGTGCCCCCCGAAGAAAATAGGATAACCGTGTATCCCACTTTTAGAAGGAACCAGCTAATAGCCTTCATGTTTTCCCGTGAGTCTGTTGCTCCCTGCCATACCTTTCCATTCTTCTACCTTTCCCCTGTCCTCTTGTAAGCAGGTAAGGTAAAGCGTCCTCAGAGAAAGAAGGTGAGAAGCCATTTTTGGCCCAAGCCATTTTGTGATGTAAGCCTGGCCCCAATGCTTGCCTGCCCTAGAACAGTCATAATCTTAAGGGAACAAAAGACCAAAAGACTTACCAGGCAAGAGAAGTAACAACAGCAAAGATAATAAATCAGTTGTAAACTCCCAGTTCTGTTACAATGGTAAAGATTAGCCTGGAGCACTTTCTTGAGCTGTTTTGAAAAATTTAATCCCCTTGGGTGCTCAACCACCAGATCAACTGGAGCTTAAGGGAGGATGAGGTTGACCTCTTCTGACCCTTGTGACTTCAACCAACTAAAGCTTGGACTCTGTTGACCTCCCAAGCCCCTTCATGTACCCTTAGCTAAAAATTTCCCCAGTTTTGCTGTTCAGGAAGACACTGCTTTGGGAAAGATCCCCAGTGATCTCCTTCCTTGCTGCAAATAATAAATCCTTCCTACTCCCACTCTTTGGCTTGGTTGTGTCTTTTGGCTCAATACCCACCAAGAGGCCAACCCAGTATGAAATAAAATTCATATTTTATTGGGACTTCCCTGGCGGTCCAGTGGTTAGGACTGCGTGCAGGGGGCACGCATCCTGGTCGTGGAACCAGGATCCTGCGTGCCACTAGATGTGGCAAAAAAAAAAAAAAAAAAAAGTTTTATGGCAAGACAGGAAAAGTTTAAACAAAAGTTTTTCTCTGCTCTTTGGCCTCCTCTCTCCCCACTACTGTGTGCTGGGTATCTGCATTATGCCCAGACTTCCCCATCAACAGAAATGCCTACTCAACCATAAAGAGCAACATTCTCCTTGCATCAAGACAACTCCTTCTTGATCTTGTAAGGGGTCACATGACCCACCATGATGCTGCTCAGATCTGGATTGTGTAAACTGTCAATAATACGTCATTTAATGTACAGCCCTCTGTCTCAAAAAACTTATATATAATTGTGCGGAGATGCTCTTTCTTTTGAGGGTTATAATCCTCAAATTTGGCTCAAATAAAATTTGGGGGTAACACTCTGTCTCCAAAAACAAGCAAACAAAATCTGAGCAGCAATGCCTTGATTTAATAAATAGACCCTGGCCAAACCCAGCTGCTCCATTCTGTGAGCTGTATTTCCTAAGCAGCAGTATTATGAACAAATACTGTATACCAAAATACATTAAGGGATGATGACTTTGCAGATTTAATTCAGGGTTCCTATGAAGAGAGAATGAATCTCGTGCTATTATGATACATTTACAAAAAAAGCCGTTGACACTTTTTTCAGAGATAGTTCAATTCTATTGCATAAATAAAGCACATTTTATTAAAATCCAGTTAAACAGTTGAAAAGAACAGAGAACTGGAAGAATTTATCTTAAACCTTTGTATCTTCTCTTTCATTCACAAATATTGAATACCTAATAGATGGCATGCACTGTTCTAAGTGCTGAGGATACAGCAGTGAATAAGACAAATGTGTTTACACTCAAGGTGTTTATGTTAGAGTTGGAAGACACAGACAATAAGCTTAAATAGGGAAACCTCATGAACTGCTAATTTCTATAATGAAAACAAGCAGGACAGTGTACTATAGATAGGGGTGTTATTTATTTATTTATTTTGGCTGTATTGGGTCTTTGTTGCTGCGCCAGCTTTCTCTAGTTGTAGTGAGCGGGCACTACTCTTCCATTGCGGTGCGCAGGCTTCTCATTGCAGTGGCTTCTCTTGTTGCGGAGCACGGACTCCAGGCATGCGGGCTTCAGTAGTTGTGGCACGTGGGCTCAGTAGTTGTGGCTCATAGGCTATAGAGCACAGGCTCAGTAGTTGTGGCACACAGGCTTAGTTGCTCCATGGCATGTGGGATCTTCCAGGACCAGTGCTCGAACCTGTGTCCCCTGCATTGGCAGGTGGATTCTTAACCACTGTGCCACCAGGGAAGTCCGATAGAGGTGTTAGTTTAGGTTGGGGGTGGGGGTATCAGGAAAAGCCTACCTGAGAAAGTGACATTTAGTCTGAGACCTGAATAATGACAAGAAGGATCCAGCCATGGAAAGATCTGGAGGAAGAGTGTACCAGGTAACGGGAGCAGCTAGTGCAGAAGCTGTTACCCAAAAACTGGATTCACCTCGTGGTGGGTATTGAGCCAAAAGACACAACCAAGCCAAAGAGCGGGAGAAGGAAGGATTTATTACTTGCAGCAAGAAAGGAGAATGCTGGGGGTCTTTCCCAAAGCAGTGTCTTCCCGAACAGCAAAATTGGGGAAGTTTTAAACTAAGGTCACATGCATATACACGAAGGGCTTGGAAGGTCAACAGAGTACAAGCTTTAGTTGACTGAAGTCACAAGGGTCAGAAAAGGTCAACCTCATCCTCCCTTGGGCTCCAGTTGATCTTGTGGTTGAGCACCGGAGGGGCTTTAAATTCTTCAAAACAGCTCAAGAAAGTGCTTTAGGCTAATCTTTACCATTGTAACAGAACTGGGAGTTTACAGCTGATTTATTATCTTTGCTACTGTTACTTCTCTTGCCTGATAACAGTCCTATGTTTCTGCATTCTTTTGTTTTTACAAAAGCCACAGGGAGCAAACAAATTTTGCAGTTCCTTTAAGCCTTGGTAGTGTTTTTCAACCCTAGCTGCACATTTTGAATCACCTAGTGTAAGTCCCTAGAGAAAGAAAACCAGGCATAGCTTTCTTGACATAAGAGAAGCCATTTTTGGTCTAAGCCATTTGGTGATCTAAGCCTGGCTGCAACGCTTGCCCTTGAATAGGTTTCAGTAGTTAATCATCTTAAGGGAACAATGCAGTAAGTGAGAAGTGGAGAGATTTGGGATATGTTTTGGAAGAAAAATCATCAGGGTGAGCCAATGGATTAGCCATGGGGACAGGTAAGGGAAAGAAATCAAAAAATGACTCCCAGGTTTGTAACCTGAGCTTCTCGGTGAATGGCAGTGCTATTTCCTGAAATGGGGAAGACTGTGTAACCACCTTCCCAGAATGCTTTAAGAACTCCAGTCTTTATGTTAGGGAACCGTTGACCAAAACCACCTACCTTGGCCAGGCACGAAGTTAACTGCCTGCCTGAGTTGTCTCAGGACAGGAGGTCCTGATAAAGAATGACTGTGCTGCTGCTGAAACTAATTCAGGAGGGGCCAAAAGGCAGGAGGACATGCCAGCCCATAGTAGGTCTTGTAAAACTCCCCTGGAAGAATTCGGGAGGTGCCAAAGGAGGAGGCGGGGAGAAGATATGTCCAGCCAACCTCCCAGAAACCCCTCACGCCAGAGCCCATTTTGGCTGAGAGATGCTCAGGCCACCAGGAAGGACCCTGTGTCCGAATGACGGGCCAGAGACAACCCGGAAACTAACCCCGTTACCATAAAACCCAAGACTGTGAGCCACGTGGCAGAGCAGTTCTCCTGGTCTCCCTTACCCTGCTCCTCTCCACCCGGGCACCCCTTCCCAGTAAAGTCTTTTGCTTTGTCAGTACGTGTGTCTCCTCAGACAGTTCTTTTCCAAGTGTCAGGCAAGAGCTCACTCTCAGGCCCTGGAAGGGGTCTCCCTTCCTGCAACATTTTCAAACAAGC